AATAACAAAAGCTTTGTATTTCAGTTCGTGATCAGAAGATAGCAGAGATAACTCCAACAACAATAACAAAAGCTTTGTATTTCAGTTCGTGATCAGAAGATAGCAGAGATAACTCCAACAAAAATAACAAAAGCTTTGTATTTCAGTTCGTGATCAGAAGATAGCAGAGATAACTCCAACAACAATAACAGAGATAACTCCAACAAAAATAACAAAAGCTTTGTATTTCAGTTCGTGATCAGAGATAGCAGAGATAACTCCAACAACAATAACAAAAGCTTTGTATTTCAGTTCGTGATCAGAAGATAGCAGAGATAACTCCAACAAAAATAACAAAAGCTTTGTATTTCAGTTCGTGATCAGAAGATAGCAGAGATAACTCCAACAACAATAACAGAGATAACTCCAACAAAAATAACAAAAGCTTTGTATTTCAGTTCGTGATCAGAGGATAGCAGAGATAACTCCAACAACAATAACAAAAGGATCAGCTTATCTAAGTGACGAGGAAAGGTTGAGTTTTGCTGCTGAACATGCAATTGATAAGGATCTCTCAACAGTAGCACTAGCTGGAGGTAGCGCAGATAACGGTGCAGGCTGGATAAAGTTAGAGTTTGATAGGACCTACTTTATCCACAAGGTCCGTATCTACTACATGTTCTACACTAACTGGTATGATTCAGCGCATTGGTGTGCACAAACTGCAATTAAATTTAGGGACTGTGTAAACAGCGATAACAACGTGGATGTGTCAGTGTACCAGGGAGAGGTAAAACAGGGGACTTGTGGAACACTCCAACTAACATATAGACTAGAGCAGGCAGACCAGATCTACACACTGATCTGTAACACTGAAGGAGATACTGTAAAACTCAGTAAGAGTACAGGAAACATAGCGGTCTATGAAGTAGCAGTTCAGAGTAGAGGTAATGTTTTTATAATTATCAAATATTTAAGAAGCCATTTACTTGCTTCAGTGTATTTATCGTGTTTAGTACTACTAGATACCTGGCAGTATCCATAACATTCTATGTGGCCCTGAGCTTGACAAAGTGAATGGACTATGGAGTATTTGTTTTTAAACCCCATATCCTCTCATCCTCTGTCAAGTGTGCTTCAATGGCCGCTGGTAGAGCTGACTACGAAGTTATGAAAATGACCTTTCCTTTTCAGAATGCAACAGCTTCGTCAGTTCTAATTACCCGGGAATGTTGGATCTATCACCGTGGTTACCAGTACTAACAGGAACAGTCCTTACGGTGACATGTGAGAGATCTCATAGATTTGCACTGGTGTCCGGGGACAAAACCCTGACTTGTGTTCACGGTTAGTAGAACACGTCGTGCTTATCTACACTGTTTAGTTACATAATTTATATAATTTACATGATTTACATAATTCAAAATTATTATTATTATTATTGCAATATAACGAAATAACGATGATGATAATTCTTCAGGATCTACCTTCGCCTACTCCCAGATTCCTCAATGTGAAAAAATAGGTAAGTGAGATTAATAAACAATGTTTGATATATGATACTGTTCATCAAAGACATGAAATAATTGGGAGTTATATTTTGTCTTTGCATGACCAGTTATCACTGAAGTTTCTCCATTCACACTGTTAATAACATACCAGCTAAGATAAAGAGATAACCCCCACCTCCTCATCAGAATCCGAGTATAATAAGTTTAGAATTGTTGTATTTTATGTAATTGATTGCACTGTTAATTGCAATGTACGATCTGTTCGTTTAGTTGAGAAACTTTCCACTTATTTTATCTTTCATGTACGCCCTTTTAATGCGGCCCTTTAATTGAAAAAATAAGGAGTTCACTTATTTTTAATACTATCCTTTTTAATATCTGTTTCAGAAACCTCAATACTCTATCTTGAGCATTTTGAGATTTAAGTGTAATTCCAGATTAACAGTGTGGAAATATTGTTGGACTTATACGTATCATTGAAACATTCTATATCATAATTGAGTAAACATTTTATTATGGTATGTAACATGAATTATTTCCTGGGGCCAGGATGTTGGAAATACCTCAAACACTGAAGTTAAATCAATAAAACAACATAACGAAGCTAGACTCTAGACTCTATAGCGTGTACCTGATAATCAAGAATCATCTGCTCGAGGTGCGTGCTCTTCATGAAGAAGTTGTATTTAGAGCCGGGGTCGGTACTAGCCAGGAACTTCTTACTCATTTCCTGGTTCAGAATACTCACTGGGTTGTTCACCTGAGTTGGGGAGTTAATTGTTAATTGGTTAATTGGTTAATCGGTTTAAGTGGTGAGTTGAGATTAAAGAGGGGGTTTACTAGCTGCATGACATGCTCATAAGGCCAAGGATTATAAGTATTGGTTGTGTGACTGACTTATTCGAGGGAATGATCGCAACATAAAGTTTAATGAAGGAGTAAGTAACCTTACGTGTTGCTAGTGACCACATATAATTGACTCTAATAATTTTATTGGAAATGAAGCTGTCTTTCACTTTAGTTCTTGTTCCTCTAAAACATAATAATATAGATCTCAGACAAATAAAACTTATTTTGGTACGAATCCAGTTTAATAATTGAATAATAGTTCAATACTTCATTTACCTGGATGTTGTAATGGTCGAGAAGGAGAGTTAAATCGTTCTTCTTTGTTGATATGGTCTTCCCTTCAAAGTTCTTCAGTTTGTACTTACTGCCCTGCTTTGTTATCTTCCTCTCCACCAGCACAGCAGATCCATATAGCTGGACAGTTTACAATTTAACTTACAATTCAACAAAAATGGGACTAACTACTAAGTGAAAGCAATACACCGCGCCGTGATACTAAATTTGTTTACATGAACAATCTACTGTCCAGTTTTCATTTCCCCTCGATAATTCCCCCCCCCCCCCCCCCCCCCTCGATAATACATAACACAAAAACTGCACTCACCTCAACTTCCCAAGCATCGTGATTATGATTAGAGTTGCAGATTGTGATGGTAACTTGGCCCCAACTCGAACCTTGCTTGATGAACTCTGTCATGTTTGGAGCTCGGTTTGTAGCGGAGCTTTTCCCGCCAAGTCCAATGACAAGCGCCATCAAGATAGCTGATTTACCGCCTGGTGGTAATGGGATAATTAATTAGCTAATTGAACATAATATGGTGTCCCTTGTTATCAGTAATCAGAGCGAAAATCTCAATTCGAGCAATTTAATTCATGACCAAATATTGAAATTACAGTGCTTACTTAAAAATACAACAAAACCAAACTGAACTACAAGATAAACTTACTTCCATTTCTTCCGACGACAAAGTTGACGGTGGAACAAAACTCGACCTCAAAAAATGTGTGACACATAAAGTTCTGAAGCTCAATCTTCATGATGCCGCCGGGGACTAGGGCCCCCTCTCCCAGCCCCTCAGGGTCTGCTCTGCTCCTCTTACTTCCTGGTCCCGGCCTGTCGGGAGCTCTCTTCTGGGACATACTGGAACAGCTATTAGAGATGTTGAGATTAGTTTAACACAGTTTGCTTGTTTGTTTTTGATAGGTGGATTTTAGATTATTACCACGTAATGAAATACGATGTTTTGAAGTTCATTTTTACTTTAAAATTGGGATGTTTAAAAAAGAGATTTTTGAAGGTATAAAAAATTGAACTGATGTGGAAAATTTGAGAACGGTGTATTAACTGAAAAATGAAAACGAATAAATCACAGAGCTTCAATCTATTGGAAAGTATTAGTTTAACAAACGTAAACTGTCATTCGAATTAAGAATGAGCTAGAATTTCGATATAATAATAAGCAAATCCATTATAGAACTTATTATTAACATATCATTATTAAAAAATCGAGAATAAAAAATCTATAAATGTATAAAAAATCTGATCAATAAATCAAATCTCTAAAAACCAAAAATAAGGTGCTAAAAATTACATTTAATTCGGTCATTAGTCAAAAACAATTGGAAATGGAATTTCTCATAATATGATCGATTTCAGCATATACGTTTCTATATCGAAAGATAAAACAACTATCCCTCATGATACATGAAAATGATCACTAAACTATAAATTGTCGTTAACAATGCTAAAAGAGTAAGCAAATCGTCAGTCTACATCTACATTCTACATGAAATCACAAACAAACCGGTCGACCACCGACAAAAAACAATAGCTAAAAATTTGATAAAATATCGAAGATATTATAAAATGATATAAAATTAGGCGACTAAAGTCAAAAAATTGCCTAAATAAATTAAAACATTCCTAACTTAACAAGTCATGAGGGGATACAAATTAAAGACGATCGTATAAAACCAAATGAATCTAATCAGAAGTGGTTCAACAACAAATTCGACCCCTCCACTAAAAAACTTACTCTAGAACGCAAATTATCACGAGGGTAATCCGGAAAGTTCTACCAAATTCTTACAAGTGATCTAAAAGTTACCGTTGTTAAAATAACTTGACGGTTGAGAGAAGTACATGTCGTGTCCCTGGACCGGTGAGCCTTGAGCGGTGGAGGGACTAAGAGGGGCCGGTGGTTGGAGGTATATGTCGGGTTGCTGGAGAGCGGGTGTTGAGAGGGGGTAAGGGGTCAGACTCGGCAATTCAGTCGACCACTGAAACTATGGTTGAGTTATGTTTGGGGTTAAATACACTTCCAGCTATAAGCACACATCCCTCCGAGCTAGCGATACTAAATAAGAAAAATATCGACTTAGATTTTGAATCACCGCAGATACGGCATATTCGTCACAGGAATGAACTAAATCCAAGTGGGCTTGGTTAAATTACCTGGTAGCCAGGATATAGGATACGAGGAGGTAAAGCGTACAAGCTGCCGAGAGGAACATGGGTTACTGCAGGGGAGGAAGTGTTTTCACCCCAGCTACTCCTGCTCGGTTTATCAGCTGCTGTGTTGTTATCCTCACTGATCTGCCCCATCCCTGTAGTTTAACAGTTATTAGATTAGATATTCCCATCCCTGTAATGGTTGAGAAACGTTTTGTTGTGGATCTCAAATGTAGAAATGGATATTTTGGGAAATACCGGAATATTGTGTTTCTATGATGGAATACAAAGGTTCTTGCATTTTTATATTATATTAGTCTATAAGAATATGCTTAAATGTTTACAGACCCAAACAAAAACGAAAAATATCTTATAAACATGTGATTCATCTGTACGGAAACCAAACCAGTCTTTCTAATGTAAACATAAATTGAGAAGACTCACCGTAGAGAGAATACAGCATGGACGGAGGTTGTGGAGGAGGGGGAGGTCGGACAAAGTTGGGAGCTGACAGCTTAGCAGCCAATACTGGGGTGAGTGGTGGGGACAAGGGGTGGAGACTGTTTCCAGAACCAGGACTTCTGGGATCATGCAGTTACTATCAATAACAAGCTGGTTCAAACCACATGAAAAAGGCACAGTCATCGTGCAATTTTCATCTGTTAGAACATAGTCATGTCAATAAATGATTTTATTTATAAAAACGGCAAAACTTACAAATTAATAGGTTTAGGGGAGGATGTGTAACAGGGTTGGATGGTATGATATGTTCTATTCCCCTGGCAACCACTCGGAATCTTGATAATAGGTGTACTGGCTTCACACTCTGGAGCTGCTTTTTCAGGAGTTGAGCTCGTCACTGCACCATCTAGACTGCTACAACCACTTGACAGCTGGTCAGATTGCACAAATTGTGGGCTGTGAGGAGTTGAGATGGTACCGGGCGTGGAGATGAAGTTGTCCGCGTACTTCATTATATCTTTATCAACGTGATCAACAAGATCACTCGTCATGTCAAGGTTTATCTGAAAGAAATGGTTCCGGTTAGCGATTAGACTCGTCAAAAATTGATTAAATTAACCATAGGCAATCCTCAATCTTCATGTTTTAAATATGATTACAAATTGTTACTTACTTATCTCCTAAATAGTGACAACTGAGAGGAGCAATAATTGATAGTTTGGAAAGTACTTACAACAGTTTTTGAGGCAAACATTGGTTGAAATTGTTCCGTTTCCTTTCTCATGAATTTAGAACACTAGTTCGTAGAGTAGCTATGACGGGGTCTGCCCCACTGCAGGAGATTCCCCAGGTCCCCAGGAATAACCCTGGTTCTGCTTGTACCACTGCCAATGTTAGGGGAATATTAATTCAAAGTATTTGTAATATAATAGAAAGTACTCGAAAAAATTTAAGAAAGCACATAAACTGAAACAGATGAACGTTAGATGTTTTTATAATTAATTAACTCGTTATCATTATCATAGTTTCTCAGTTACCTTAAGTTACCATTAGAATTAGAAAAATCCCTACCTTGTAGAGATCTTGAATAGCATATTATACAGCCGACTCTATTCTATCCTTACAGGAGGAAGAGGGAAGCCATGTTCCAGAAGTACTGCTATCATTGTCTCTGGAATGTGGGGACTTCTCTTCAAGCTGTCTTTCTTCTGTACTTCCTGGGTGATTGGCAAGTTTAGAATGTGTTCGTTTTATGTTTCCTTGTGGATCGGGCTAATGGCTAACATTTTATTTTCGAATAATATGCCTCATTCCATTTAATCATTTTGGCGATAGGGATTACTGAAAAAGAATCGGCCTTTCTGTTACGACATTTGTTTGATCAATTACATTTATTAAAACCCCATCGCGTGTTCAGGACCTCAGGAAAGGATATGGATCATCAATTTAATAATATTCAAAATTTATGACAAGTTTTCGTAGAAAATCATGATAATCGCTGATAATCACGAATCAAGGAGTTACGGAGAATTCAACAGGCATTTGCTACCGCCAAATTCCCCACAAGCATTAATAATTAGTGACAGCAACCTCAGAGATAATAATGGCAGATGCATTAAGGATGGGTGCTTCACAGCGTTAACTCACCTGGTCACATGATCGTGTCACGTGATCTGGTCACATGATGTTACACAACTAGATGTTTATTGGTACCTGGTACCCGGTCAGTTAAAAATATTAATTTTTATTTAACAAATTCCACTCGATTTTATAGTACATTCTTTAAATATGTTCTTATACTTTTTGAGTGTATACCACTAAAATTCAAATCCACAGGACCAAACGTATTCCTTCAGGTCACCTATCGCAAGGAAGGCCCATTCTCACTGATAAATTTTGCTCATAAAAACCGATTATCCTTCCCTGGCGCTCTCTGGTGTAGGAGCCTGGGGAGGTCCTGACATCAACCGTGCTGCGAAGAAAAATATTTATTTAAAACTAATTAAACATTTACACACCTATTACATTTATTGAGACGTTACAGAGGAATTATTTAAATGTTGTTGAGGAGTCCTCACTCTCCTAACGTCCGAAAATAGCGTTTCTCTTTTCGCTAATATTGAATAGTTTTTGTAAGTGTCAGCAGTAGAGTTTGAATATATTTGGGAGGTTGTATTCAGGATAAAAATGGTCAGGATGTTTAGTAAAACCCAATGGTTGTATCCACAGTCCGACTACCACAACTCGGTCAGAGATTCCCAGAAAGTACCGCTATCATTGTTTCTTGGGAGAAGCTTTCTAATCTTTAGCTATGGCTTCAACTTTTGAGTAATTTGTTGCACGTATATAAAAAATGTTATTTCTGTGTCTCCTCACTACAAATTTAAGTTAAAGACAAAGTTTAGGTTGACATTTTTTAAACTGTACCAGAAGTGGGAGGTTTCACGCAGGTGGATAAAAGATGATGAGTAAATCAAAGGAGAACTAACAGATTCTCGATGCGCATTATCAACAATGATTGGCGTGAAATCGTCTGTAGGACTACGCCCCTAAAACAATAATCCCTTTATAAAGTTTTCCATATAATGCTTACTCGACACATTACAGCACCATCGACTATATAGGATTTTTTTAAAGGGCATACCGCGGTCTGATCCTAGTTGCTTCTGGAAGGTAAATGTAAAGTAACATGAAAATCTGTTCTCAAATATGTTTTCGGATTTTTACATTTCAGTGTCGATCACTGTTAAAATATTCAACATTGTGATTGTGGTGAAAAATGTTTGAAAGGGTTTATTGTTTTACGCCCTAAACAATAAAACCTTTCAACAGAGAAACTGAAGGTGGTATAAAGTTATCAGGGTGATTCAAGGATAATGTTTGGGATTGTAGTACACAATATTTTTATGATTGGAGCAAAAAAATTGTTTATGAAGGAGCAAATTTTTGAAAGATGGGAGTTTCTATCAAGTCATAAACGTTATTAATTTCATTCTGAATTTTCATTTGATCCTGGCCTCATGATTCTAGATAATCACCAAAATGCGAATCAACTCAAGATGAAATACTTTCTTGTGTTTGCCTTGTTTGCACTTGCACCCGCCCGGGCCCGCCCGCGTGATGGAAACGACATAAAAACCAAAATCTCCGCATCAATGTTACAGCAATCTTTGTAAGAACCTTCCACCGAGCCAATCAGAGCGAGCCCTATGTCTTCAAGTTCAGAGTGATCGGAATGAAAAACCTCTCATAGAATTGAGGGCATTCTGTATAAAGTAGAGAAGGGAGAGGAGGGTTCAGAGCTCAAGTAACAGATTTTGATTCTCTTTGAAGGACACTGTCTGAGGAGATATCAGCAAATGATTCGTTGTGAAAACGTCCCAAACCTTTGAAAGACAAGGTTTAATAAGTATGACTCAATTTGGTAAATACCAAATTTTGAGGGATTTTTAGTGTGACACCTTAAAAATTAAGGGTGACACTTTAAAAGAGAATTTCGTGGGAATACCATTTGTTGAGTTGCAACTTAAACTCCTTTTTAAGTGCGAACATCACCGTAAACTGCTGTTTAAGTGTGACCTAAAGGTTGGTAATAGAGACGTTCCAAAAACTAGTGAGAGGATGAAATTGAAGAGAGGACGTCTTAGATCTTCACGGCAAAGATGTAAGAGGGACGCCCCAGAGCTGACGACAAAGGACGATAAGGAGACTTTCCCAAACCGAAGCAACGTTATCATTGGGAGTGTGAGCGTTTGCTAATGTAAGCTGTGATGAACAGGGGCTCATATCTGGTGTACTACGGAACACTGCCTCATGTCAGGTCATGTGTCCCGTAATGTCAGGGAGTTGGTAGTAACAAAAAAAACATCCAAAACCGCGAGGTACATCCGTGTCTCATGGTGACGGTGTGAAAATCAGGGACGAATAGGAGATGAAGAAAAATACACACCTAATAAAGCTTGTAGGCATTAATATCTTATTCTGATTTATCATTTTTGACAAAAGAATCATATGTTCTTTCATTTTCGTTGGCCAGGATTACTAAAAACAATTGTTGAATTTGACGGACAACCGTGTTACAATTACAAATGTATCTAGCGGGAAATTGCTATTTGGGACTAAATGGAACTAGCTGATTTGTACAGTCCCTATATTTGTTTAAACTGTTCTATCGTGCTAAACAACCGTCGTACGTATAATTACATAACTTTGTGACTTGAATTACAATATAAATACCTGGCCGGAAGAAAGGCACAATTTTTTCTTTCTTTTTTTTTTTTTTTTATGATCAGGATCAGGTAAAATGTCCACCTCATCATCTTATTGGGAACCGGGAGGGATGTAGATTAAGGGTTCCAGTGGTGCACAAAGTAGGAACGATACACCGCGTGAGAGTCAGTTTAGTAGTGTTACAGGGCTGTCGCCATAGATCTCGCTTCTGGGACTCTTGTAGCCACAGTGACTCCCTGGACTTCACTGCACTCCCGACGCGCCAGGACTCTATAAGACGGAGCGGGGCGCAGAGCAGAGCGAGAGTCTGTAGAGTCGGGATACCAAGGAATGGTTTTGTATCCTTTAAGCAAGTCAAATTAGAGCACTCCGAGCGGAAGGACTGCAGACTGATAGGTTACGGTCTCTTAATATTATCCAGTGTTGTGTTTCGGCTTTAGATTCTTCAAAAAACTCGAACAGAATCTTCCCTCTCTGTTTCGGTCAAAACCGAGGTTTCGAAATAACAGCCTTGTGATGTCCGTAAGCCTGAACAGGATATGTCCAAGAGTTACATTCGAGTATTTAGTGACCTTCATCAGTTGAGAGTTGAACCAAACCATGTCAGGAGGACAATTTAGTTTTAAAATGTAGTTTCTACAATTGATTGAACCTAACCTTGTAGCAGGCCCAAAGTCATAGCGAATCTAGTGTAAGGAGTCCTTATTCGTAGATGAGGATTAACAATACCTTTTCGCTTCCCCATTCTATATTCTATTTCCTTGAAAAATACTCGGTCGTTCAAATGTTTAGTGCTAGTTATTGCTAAACTTTGTTAAAAGCAAACCACCGACACCAATACAGCAAAGATCAAGAGCTGCGTAGAGAATAACTTCCTAGGATTAATGGTTAACTTCCGGCTCAAAATGTATCAATTAGGGGTCTACAGGAAAGGTTCACATTTTAGAGGCCATGTTTGTACACGATCGTGCTTATCATTAATTGCCGATTAGCGCGCGTGTGTCGCGCATCAGGTTTCTGCGCGAAAATCGGAAACACTTGTTACACAAACGTTCTTATTCGCGCGTTCCGTGAACGAGTGCGAAGGAACCCTTTCAGCGGTATTCTTGCCAATTTAGTAAAACCGAAAGACAGTTTACTATTTAGGATTCGTACGCCAATATGTATTATCCCATATGTATAATTATACATGTGAATAGTAAAGAGTTAATACCTGTCGGTCCGGTATTTTGCTCTCCCTAGTGTGGCTACAAGGTGGCCGCGGATATAAACCTGGTGATATCAGTGCACCCTGATAGCCAAACTAATTTTATTTTTGCTTTTGACGGTTGGCTCTTCGAAAACATTCGTTGCCTGTGTAAATATTCGAGTTAAAAGACGGAAAGCCACGGAGAGTCAGACGATTCCGTTGGAAAGGTGGTGAAGAGGACTTAAAAGTTTGAACAGAAACTGCAGATTCTCTACTCAGCGCCTTAACGTTTAAAATGTGTGAAACAATTTCGGTTACATCAACCTTTTGATTTTAATATTTGC